AGAAAAAAGAAGACGAGGAGGACGATGACGAAAGGGAAGATGAAAGAGTCAAGCATCTATCCCGTAAAACGACAAAAAAAAAAACACTTTAAAAGCAAGAACTAATGAGTCGGTGACTTCTCCCCAATCCCATATATACGTGCGAGGATTAGTCAACGACTTTTTCCCAAAGCGTGAAATCACTACGACCTTTTTTTTTTTCTAATGAGAGGGTCATAGACAAGTGAAGAATCAATCGATACCATTTCCCCCCAAAAAGAAAGCAGTGTAGGAGAGCAAAGATTAAGCGACGATTCTTCTCCCAAGCGCCATATTACACACGTAATCATCGTCGGTGCTTTCTTCCAAACACTATAAACAGGATGGGGCAAAAGTCAAATATCTAATTTTTCACCCTTCTGAAATCTGGATTACCTCGCCGAGGATTTTTTCTGATGATCACTCCTCTTTAAGACCAACGCCCCATAGGGAACTGTATACCTAGAGCGAGATGATCCCTCACCCTGAAAGGTAGGGAAAAAAAAAATTGGCTTTTGGTCCACTATGTGTGTTAGTAAAAGAAGTCAGCGAGGTCTCAACAGTATCTCTATACGAAGAAGGATGACTCGGCAACTTCTAAACATCACATATTGCAAGAATGTGTCTCGATGAGTTTATCCTTAAGCTCTATGCTTGAAGAGCAATCGGACACCAGACTCTTCAACACCATGCAAGCGAAAGAATCCTACGGCGACTTCGTTCTAAAAGCTTTTACAAGGCTACATGTCTGACGATCAGTCGGGAACTCTTCTTCACTCATGTTGCAGGGCAAACGTCCCCCACCCCCATGTATTATTTTAGATCCAAATAAAGAAAATGCGTGCAAAGAAACGCCTACAACTCCTCTGCATGCAAGCTCGCACGCGCACACACACAGATATATATATATATATATATATATATATATATATATATATATATATATATATATATATATATATATATATATATATATATATATATATATATATCTATATATATATATATATATATATATATATATATATATATATATATATATATATATATATATATATATATATATACACGATAGAAATATTCTTCCTTTGAAGTGGGTGAGTGTGTCAAAGCCAAATACCTTGATTCGATGAGGGAAGAAAACACAGGAGATTTCCCAGTCATTTCCCTCAGCCCCATTTAGTCGACTTTTCCAACATGCAAGAAAACATGGAAAAGGAATTTTTGTCCCCCTCCCTCAGAGGGATACGCTGATTCATTGATAGTACACCTTAATTGCTATAAATGGGTATGTATATATATATATATATATATATATATATATATATATATATATATATATATATATAAATTTCAAAAATCCCTAAGTCACGCTTCATATAACATCAACATCATCATTATAAAAGTTAATAATAATAATAATAATAATAATAATAATAATAATAATAATATACAACTTGATAAACCAAAACGGGGAATAACTCCAAGCATTAAAAATGCGATGCAGACTAAAGGTGTAAATTTGGTGAATTGAAATGTTTATTTGTTTGTTCTCAGAGACCTGCAAAAATCTATCTTGCAAGGACTTTATATATATATGTATATATATATATATGTATATATATATATATATATATATATATATATATATATATATATATATATATATATATATATATGAGCCTTAATCCCCTTATAAGGGGGGTGGCTGAGTCAAAGTAAAATACCTTGACTCATTGCGGGAAGAAAATACAGAGGAGGGGATTCCAAGCCCCCTCGCTCTGCCCCATTTAGTCGACTTTTACGACACGCAGGGGAACACGGAGGAAGTACTCTTATCCCCCTCCCTCAGGTGTGTGTGTGTGTGTGTATATATATATATATATATATATATATATATATATATATATATATATATATATATATATATATATATATGAGCCTTAATCCCCTTATGAGGGGGGTGGATGAGTCAAAGTAAAATACCTTGACTCATTGCGGGAAGAAAATACAGAGGGGGGGATTTCAAGTCCCCTCGCTCTGACCCATTTAGTCGACTTTTACGACACGCAGGGGAACACGGAGGAAGTATTCTTATCCCCCTCCCTCAGGGGTGTGTGTGTGTGTGTATGTGTATATATATATATATATATATATATATATATATATATATATATATATATATATATATATATGATAAGTGCAATGAGAAATAGATATTTGGGAATGAATGCAAAAGAAAAGGATATATGAAGGTGTGCCGACAGCATTGTATGGAGCAGAGACTTGGAATGCAAATGAGGATGAAAGGAACAAGTTGAATGTAATGGATATGAGGTGTTTGAGAAGTATGATTCGTGTATCTATAATAGATAAGAGTAAAAAATGAAGATGTCAGGCAGAGAACGAGTGTTGACAGGAAGATGCCGGATAGGTTGGACCAGTGTGTGTTGAGTTGGTTTGGACGCATGGAACGGTTGAGTGAACCAATAGTGATGAGAGTGGAATGCAGAACTGATTGGAGTTAGGTCAAGACGGAGACCTAGAATAAAATGAATGGATGGCGTGAAAAGGGCACTGACTGCACATGGAATGTCAGTGGAACAGGGAAGTGTGTGTGCAAGAGATTGAAATGAGTGGAGAAAGATTGTGCATAGATGACGTGGGCCAAAGGGAGTTCTCGTACCTGCTAGCTCAGAGAACTGTTGACGGACGGGTGTGAGGGGAGTTCCCATGTGATGAAGCAGTGGGGGTAAACCAGCTGTGGCTGTCGATCCTCAATGTAGAATATCCTTGCCCGCCTACCTTATGGATGACCCAAACAGGGTGGAAGGGGGAGGGGAAACGTCGCAACCCTTTATCCCGAAGGAGCTAAAAGGAGTGGTTGAGGTATGTGTGGATCGCTGTTAATGCGCGTTTCTTGGCTCGGTCACCCCCTTACAAGGGAGAAGGAGGCCATATATATATATATATATATATATATATATATATATATATATATATATATATATATATATATATATATGCATTTCAACATTACAGAGTCTACCGGTACTACATTGTAAGTTGACACTGAGACCATAAGTCGACAGGGGGTGCTGCCCATATGTAAAACAAGTTGATCAAAGTTAATTCTGCCAATGGAACTACTGATATATATATTTTGATGACCCCTCTTGAGGTTATCAAAATGTAATGCAACAACAATAGGTCATCTAAAATATGCCTCACACAGACGTTCAAGAACAAAAGCTAAAACCAAATTAAAATGTGATAATATATTTAGCACATACGATATCTAGAATGGAAATAATTTTTCAAAAACAATGCTTGGTGCAATATGTAACCATCCATCCCCTGTTATTATCTCTTTCCATTTCTTTAACTGAAGACTAATTTTTAAATACAATATATTCTCTCTTATTTCGGTTTATATTAGCGACAATGTTTTTCCCTTCTTTAATTTTATTTTTCCTTATTTATCAATTCTCTTCCTCATATACAAAGATGCTAGAAGTAATACAGAGAGAGAGAGAGAGAGAGAGAGAGAGAGAGAGAGAGAGAGAGAGAGAGAGAGAGAGAGAAGGGGCATGGGAGAGGGACAAGAGAGCAGTGACCGCGAGAAATCGATAGAGAGAGAGAGAGAGAGAGAGAGAGAGAGAGAGAGAGAGAGAGAGAGAGAGAGAGAGAGAGAGAGAGAGAGAGAGAGAGAGAGAGAGAGAGAGAGAGAGAGAGAGAGAGAGAGAGAGAGGGGGGGGGGGGCAGTTTTAGCATCTACTGATGCTAGTAAGAGGGTAACATGCAGTACTACAAGTTAAAGGGAACCAAAAGGAAAGGGGGGGTAAAACCAAGGACAATATAGAGAGTGGTGGTAGTAGTAAAAATATGGTAGCAGAATATAATTTTTTTCATATTTTATTTGTAATAGTAATAAATGATCCCTAACATATGTATTTTTAGTAGTAGTTGTAGCATTAGCAGCAAAAGATAGCTCCTAATAATATTTGTATTAGTAATAGCAATAATAGGAGTACATAAATAATAGGAGATTCCTTCGATTTGCATATTTTATGGTATAGTGGTTTTTCTTGTAGTGTTAATAAGTCTCCTCCGATTTTTATTTATTGCGGCAATAGTAGTAAAAGTAGTAGTAGTAGTAGCAGCAGTAGTACCCGGTAGGTTCTTCAAAGTTAATTTGTAGTAGTAGTAGTAGTAGTAGTAGTAATAATAATAATAATAATAGTAGCGGTAGTGCAAAATCAAGACCAAAAGAAGAATATGAAAGGAATTTTTTTTTATTAAAGAAAGCGAAATTTTCAGGAAAAATTTGGACTGGAAGCGATCTAGTCGTATATCAAAATATGAGAAAGCCAAGAAAAAGAGCTCTCTTGCTCCCCAATGGCCGATTTTAAGCTCTGCTCTGAAAGGATATGATATATTTTCGATGGGACAAAATCCTGACATTCTCGATATCATGAGTTACACCCAATAAAAAAAAAAAAAATGAATAAGCCCTTGTACCAAATAGGAGTGTTCCTCCCCCCAAGGTAAGAAGGGGAAGGGAGGGAGCCGGGGAAAGGGGAGTATAATATACAATAGTTATTATATTGAGGAAACAAACCGGTCCGCGTGGTTGGGGAAAACGAGGGGGGGAGTAAAGGAGATGATGGGGGAAGGGGGTTTATGGGGGCAATTATTATACGGGTCATAAATGATATGGGGGACACCATGGAGGAGGAGGAACTGAAAGAACAGCAATGACAACACGAAAGCAGCTATAAGAAGTTGTTACTGATGCTACTTTACTTCATATTTTCAAACATCTTTGCTGCTTTTCCAAAATTTCAAATGGGGTCGCTACACTTGAGCAGCCTTACCTTATTCTCCCATTTCTAACTATTTTTTCCCAAGTGTCAATCAGATAGAATGCGTTCATTCCTACCAAAGCAGATATAAGCTGTGAGGTTTGTTTCCTTTTTAAAACCTTCTGTAGTGTAGTTGGTAGCGTCTTGGATTAATAATAAGTCCCAGGTTCAAGTCCTGGTCGGGGTA